GGGTAACTACTATGAAGGGATAGAATATGACTCTAGAAATGAAAAATAAAAATGTTTTTTTACAAAAGGGATTGATAAGATGTTGGTTGAAAAAGGGAAAAAGAAAAATTCAAAAAATAATAGAAAAAAAAAGAAAATTAAAAAAATTAACTTTGAAAGACTAAAGAATCATGGTAAAAAAGCCATGAATTCTATATGCAGTATTCCCCTAGTGCTGCAGTTCTGCCGTTCTCATTGATGGGTAAACTTGGTCTTGGCCGGCTGTTCTTGCTGATCTTCTGGGGGAGGGGCCTGTTGCCGTGGTTCCCAAATGTCTTTGCCAGAGGCGGAATTGCCCCGTCCTTGCCGGTCCGGGCTAAGTAATCCAGTCGGGTTTGCTCTCAGGAGCTTTTGTTCCCTGCAAGTTTTCTGTACAGCTTTGGAGGCCGAGAGTGAAAATGGCCTCCCAATCTCCACCCCGGAGGAGCCGAGAACTCGGGGCCCCACTCCTCAGTGCACCCCCATAGAAAAGCATTCAGTCACTCCTGTCTCCCCGGTCTCCGGCCGCACTCCGTGCTCACCCGGCCTGTGACTGAGCGTTTCTGTCTCTCGCACACGACCCCGTGTGGAGTCTCCAAACCCAGCAGATCCCTGTGGTGTGCTCCCGCGCGGCTCCTCCCAGGGGAGGAAGGGGAGTCTTTCCGTATCTGCCGCTTGTTGGGTCCCTGCTGGAGAAGCAGTGGCCCGATTGCACCGCGGATCAAGGTTTATAAGAACCCTGAGCTGAGAGCCCGCACCTCGGCTCCGTGTCTGCAGCCAGCTTCCCCTCTCCGATACCTGGGAGCTCTGCCGCACTCAGGCACCCACGGTCTTTCTGTGACCCGGGTCCTGAGACCACACTGTCCCACGAGGGTTCCACCCCCCGCTTAGCCACTGGAGCGATGTCCCTCAGCAGAGCCGACTTCTAAAAGTTCTGATTTTGTGCTCCGTGGCTCTATCACTTGCCAGAAGCGGCTGATGGAGGCCCCCTCCCCCGCCATCTATCCTCCCGAATATCGCCTAGGATTCACTTCTGTGCACGTCCTACCTTCCAGAAAGTGGTTGCTTTTCTGTTCAGAGAGTTGTTGCTGTTCTTTTCTTCGATCTCCTGTTGAGTTCGTAGGTGTTATGGTTTGATCCCTATCCAGCTGAATTCCTGAGACCAGACGAGATCCAGGTCTCCTACTCCTCTGCCATCTTGCTCCTCTTATTTTTAATTTTTAAAATATTTTTATTTATTAGAGAGAGTGTGGTGAGCACATGAGCTGGGAGAGGGGCATAGGTAGAAGCAGACTCCCTGCTGAGCGGGGAGCCCGATGACCCGGGGCTCCACCCCAGGACCCTGGGACCATGACCTGAGCCGAAGGCAGATGCTTAACCGACTGAGCCCCCCAGGAGCCCCCCAGTAATGCTGTTTATCACAACAAGCATTGTGAATACCACAGTGGAGATGTGTGGGGTGTGGCAAGGATCTGAAGGAGGGAGTTGTTGGTTTAGCCTTGGGACCAGGAGCTGTCAGGAGAAGATTCACCGAAGAGGCTACCCTTGAGCGGAATAGCTGTCCATCATTCAGACAAGGCAGGAGGAGGGCAGAAAAGGAAAAACAGGATTTGAGTGTGTGTTTGGAGGGGTGGGTACTTGTAAGGGGACGGCTGGGGGCGGAAAGTGAGGGAGGTGGGGGCCAGAATGGACTTCATTTATCTCTTGTAGAGATTCTAGAGAGATGGGCCTGGCTGTGGTATAGAATAGAAATCAAGGTGGGCCTGACAAAAAGCAGGGAAGCCAGGTAGGAAGCCGTAGCCGCACTTTTCCAGATGGGGGGGCGCTGTGTTTGCCTTTCTTCCTTGCCGATGGTCTCCCTCCCGGTGGTAATTAATAATTTTTGGACAGGTGGATTACCTAGTCATTCCAGGAGGAGTAGAATGGGCCAGAAGGTGGGGTTTGTGTGCCCCCCTTTCCTGTGTGCCACTTCCTGCCCCCCACTTATTTTTTTTTAAAGATTTGTTTATTTTAGAGAGAGAGAGCAAGAGCACGCATACAGGCGCAGGTGGGGGGCAGGAACAGAGGGAGAGGGAGAAGCAGACTGCCCACTGAGCATGGAGCCCTATGGGGGGCTTGATCCCAGGACCCTGAGATCGTGATCTGAGCTGAAATCAAGAGTCGGACACTTAACCGACTGAGGCTCCCAGGTGCCCCCTTGCCCCCCACTAATTAATCAGCGGCAGTAGGTGAAGATGGCCTAGCCATCCCAGTTGTTCTGCTCAGTGAATTCTTACCTCCCTAGTCCGCCGAGGGAAAGAAAAGGCTGCTGTTAGCCAGAAGCAGGTACCTGTGATGTGTCAGGGGTAATGGGAAGAATTTGGGCCCTTGAGAGCCCCATTGGAAGAGCAGATGCACAGTGATGGCCGGTGAATGATGACCTGTCCCCACAAAAGACGTAGGACGTAATCACAGTGGACTGTGAAGGCCATTCTGAGCCAGAATGTACTTTACCTGGCCAGCTTAGATCCTTGGGCAGCCAGGTCCTCAGTGTTGTCAAGTTTTGGCTGAAAGAAAATGCAGAAATCTCCACTGATCTTCATAGTTGTGTTTTAAGTGATGTATTTTTCTTCCAGTATATTGTAAATGGAAAGCGGAAAGATACTCAGAAAAAAATGTAAAAATCAGGGCGCCTGGGTGGCTCAGTTGGTTAAGCGACTGCCTTCGGCTCAGGTCATGATCCTGGAGTCCCTGGATCGAGTCCCGCATCGGG